ATGCACTTTTTCACGAAAATCGGCCGATTATGATCGGTGACCGATCGATTGGCACACCTCTATTAAATTATATAAGCAATGTTAAGAACTTGGTAAGGAAATTCTGCAGTGATGGTCACCAAACAGTGTCTTCCTAGACTATGAAGATTTTAATATTTCAGTGAAAAGTCTCGGATATAAACTACACAATAATCTCATCATAAGGAGACCACACATTTAAACGAATTGTTTCTTTGTAACAAAAAAGTGAAAGCAGCAAAAAGGATCAGGCATTTCTATTAGACTTTATTGCAGCTGCTATACATGGTCAGTCTTCACATGGTATGTGACTCATTAATTCAAAAGTTTAGCAAAAGCAGTTTGAAATTAAAACAACAAAAAATACCAAGGAATAATGGAAAAGAAAAACAAAAGTTCTTAATTACCTGGGTTGTTTCATTACAATCACCACAACCTCTGCTATTACATTAGGCGTTTTCAAAACACAATCTTGAAAATGTGGTTATTATATGGCATTATAGTTTTGGCACTAAATAGGAGAGACAATTTAATTATATTCAAATAATTTCCAGCAAACTGAAGCAACAGCTTTACTTGAAACACCCAACATGTACACACATATATGGTTCATACATAAAGAAAATAATGAAACCTTGTGAGCTGTAAAAACAACATAAGCCTCATGCATTAATACAGTCATGGAAAACAGAAGGTCCAGCATTTATCAGTTCCAGCATTACAATACATAAATAATCTTGTCTTTGCCAGGTTCTAAACAATTCATATCTAACCTAAAATGTACAAAACTGAACTCCAAATGGCAGCTCATCAGTTTTGTGAAAAACCATGTACTAAATTTGCAATAAAAATGTACACATCAAAGACATGTACTTTCTATTTACCATTTCTGTAAGCCATGAGTTCCCAATTGTCTAAAAGTAGACGTGTAATTTGTTGAAGGAAAACACATATCAAATTCTATTTTTTTAATAACGTACTAGATGTTTCCAAGAAAATTAAATAAGGTACACACCTTTACTTGAAAGTACAATGGCATGTGTTATGATAAAAAAAAGTCTTTACCGCACTCATTCAAGTCAAAGTCTTTGCAGTGAAATAGTTTGGTTGTTCAAAGCTGTGGGAATGCATTAACTTTTGGAGCAGAAATTCTTGAAATGAATCGCAAGACCTCACTCCCCCTTGAAACGAGGACGCCTCTTCTCCTTAAAAGCAGCCAAACCTTCCAATCGATCTTTTGTTGGGATCACCTATAAAATCATAAGTACAAGAAGCAACTTCACTTCTGAGCTTTGTCTCACATCTGGTTTTACAGTGTAAATATTTGTATATGGTCAGTTGTATAGCTTAAAATATCTGTATTTGTTTTTGCCTGTGTATGAGCAAGGCCTAAGAAAACAAAAAGGGGTGGAAGCTAATAGCTAGTCATATGAATGCAGACTTCAGTTGTGTAAAAACAACCCAAAATGAAAATGCTAAAATGTTTATATATGCTAACAGATATTACATTACAAGACACAGTTGTGCTTGGTGCTGTTTTGTTTAGTCGAATAATGATCATGTCCTTATGTGAAGTTGCATTGATTGAGCACACTGACTGTATCAATCCACCAGATCCAACTCATTAGTTGACTCTGCTAAGAATGGAGTAAACTTTTGAATTTCGTGCCAGTTGTAAAGTACCACTGAAGATGGTACACTATGTTGCCAAAAATGTTTGCTCACCTGCCTTGACTCGCATACAAGCTTAAGTGACATCCCATTCCTAACCCACAGGGTTTAATTTGACGTCGGTCCTCCTTTTGCAGCTAAAACATCTTTAAATCTTCTGGAAAGGCTGTCCACAAGGTTGAGGAGTGATATGGGGATTTTTGACTATTCTTCCAGGAGCACATTTGTGAGGTCACATACTGATGTTGGACAAGAAGGCCTGGCTCTATTGGGCTGAAGTCAGGACTCTGTGCAGGCCAGTCAAGTTCATCCACACCAGACTCTACCATCCATGCACAGTGCAGTCAGACAAGTACCGTTGTCCTGGCAACCACTGAACTCATCCTCGTCAGATTGCCAGACAGAGAAGCGTGATTCGTCACTCCAGAGAATGCGCCTCCACTGCTCTAGAGCAGTGTTTTTCAATCACTGTTCCGCGGCACACTAGTGTGCCGTGAGTGATCGTCAGGTGTGCCGTGGAAATTATTCAATTTCACCTACGGTACCGTATTTTCCGGACTATAAGCTGCTACTTTTTTCCTAAACTTTGAACCATGCGGATTGTAGCCCGGTGCGGCTTTTCTGTGTATTTTTCTTCAACCACCAGGGGGCTCTCGAGCAGGAAGTGAATCATTAGAAGTCAAAATTGTAGATCAAAGAAGAACACGTTAATTTTCATTTAGAACAACCACATGCTAGCAGCAGGCACGACGGAGAAATGTTTTCAAACTCATATGATGTAGCTTTTAAGTTGAGGGCTGTCGATCTGGTACTACAGGAGGGAAATAAAGCCGCTGCACTTAAGCTCGGTGTGAACGAAACCATGGGTAGTAGTGGCTAGCGGCATAATCATGTAATTTTCTTACCACTAGATGGCAGTAGGTACAGAGCATTTTACATTAAAACGAGAATTAGTGAGCCATGAATGTTACAGGTAGCGGTGAGAGCATCGTATCTAGCCAGACTGTGACAACAGTGATGGAAAAGACAGTGAAGCTCAGCAGTAGTTGGAAAGAACATGGGTCCATTTCCCACAACATGTCTGTGTGAAGTGAGCTTCTCAAGCCTGGATACTATAAAAACTAAAAACAGAGACAGACTGAGAGCTGTTGAGGAAGAGCTTTGTCTTCAATTTCTGCCAGGAAATCAGCTGTTTTATCCAAACATGCACAGGTTTCACACTAGATGGGTAAAATATACAGATATTGACATTTTGTACATGCAAATCTTCATATTGTAACAGTAAATATGAAGTGAAATCTGTCCCATTGCTTCTTTCAGAATAAGAATTATTTTCTGTATTCCGGCTAAAACAATGCTTGTGGATTAGTTTGTAAAACACTTTGAAGTTTTCTACAACTTCTTTAAATTTAACACCACAGTGTTTTGGCCCTGTTCAGGTGTATTTTTGAAGTGGACATGTAACGTGCAATTTGAAATAAATGTAAAATGTGATAAAAATAAATGTTTGTGTTTATTTGATTCCCATTCAAGACACTTTGATAAGAATGACTATATATGTAATATAGGCGACTAAGGGAGTATCTTTGTTTACATTTTTGGTTGGTGGTGTGCCTCGAGATTTTTTCAATTAAAACGGTGTACCTTGGCTCAAAAAAGGTTGAAAAACAGTGGTCTAGAGTCCAGTGTCGGCAGTTTTACAAAACAACATCTGACGCTTTGCATTGCACTTGGTGATGTATGGCTTGGATGCAGCTGGTTACCATAGAAACCCATTCCATGAAGCTCCCTTCACACTGTTCTTGAGCTAATCTGAAGGCCACATGAAGTTTGGAGGTCTGTAGTGATTGACTCTGCAGAAAGTCATACTATGCGCTTCAGCATTCACTGACCCCGCTTTCTCAGTTTACGTGGCCTACCACTTCATGGCTGAGTTGCTGTCAATCCCAAATACTTCCCGTTTTTTATAATATAGCCGACAGTTGACTGTGGAATATTTAGGAGCGAGGAAATTTCAAGACTGGATTGCGATTGCGATAATTTGGATGGATGGCCAAATACTTTGGCAATAGTGTATGTTTCTGTGCTCTGCAGGGCCTTGTTTCAGAAAGCAAGGTTAACAAGGCACTATCTGAATAAACCTACCTTGCCCCCCATCACCAGGTTTAGTAAGTTTTCTGGGGGAACCACTTTTCTAGAAAGCTCACAATATCACATACTACAGTTAAGGGAACTACAGAAACTCAATTATCCAACACTCACCTGAGCATAGCATGCCTCTTCAATTGCCAAACCTGTAGATAAATCCACCTGAAAGTGAATAAGGCATTTGTCAGTGAAGTACACAAGAAACTTGAAACCATTTTGCTTCAAATGTTGTCCTGGGTTGATGTCAGGACAAATACTACAACGATGTACGGCAGAGTCTAAACAATCTCTTTGGACACACAATAACCTGATGTGACTCCTCTTAAGGAGTTCCTTGACCTAACAATCCCTTGACTATAAAATGATGAAAGGATATTATATTTCAACTGATACCAATATATTGTTTAAATTTGACACCTGTTCTGGGTAAATTCAATACATTTTGTCAAATTTAACTCCCTATTAAAGTTCTAGATAAAAAAATGATCAAAAAACATGTGGTGTGTTTCCTCTGTAGTATGAAGTTTGAATGACATATTTTGGGTTGTGTTCATACTAATTAAGTTTAGTATGCATGCATCTTAGTCATTCATCCATCCAACCATCATCCACTTATCTGGGGACGGGTTGCGGGGGTAGCAGCCTAAGAAGGGAGGCCCAGAATTCCTTCTCCCCAGCCATAACCACAGATGAGGGTAGGAACATAGATCGACTCGTAAATCAAGAACTTTGCTTTTTGACTCAGCTCTGTCTTCACCTCAACAGACTGGCACAGCGCCCGCTTCACTGCAGACGCTGCACCAATCCATCTGTTGAGCTCCCGCTTCCTTTTTCCCATCATTCGTGAATAAGATCCTGAGATTAATTTCTAATCCAACAATGTTAAAAAACAACACTACTTTATCATGATAACAATAAAGTTTGTAATAATCTTCACTTCTGCTTTGCATTGTGAACTGGTTGTTTGAATAAATGACAAGTCAAGAAGTCAAGACTTGTTCTTCCAATACCAGACCATCTGAGACAAGACAGCATCTATAACGTCAACAAATATTTCTGGACATTACCTTTTGTGTTCTACAAAATGCAAAGATTAATCTAAAAACAGTTGATTACTCAATCAAAACTATTTCTTGGCATTACACTTAATGGTCGTAATAATCTAATATTTAAGTTATTAAATGCAGCCACAAATTGATGCACATTCTCTAAACTGAATAAAAATCAACTTACATTGTTCAACAGTTATATGAGAAATTTAAGAAACAGAAATTACACTAATAAGGATTTGTCATATTTAAAGAAAAATCTATTTTTGCATTATCATCTGAATAAAAGCAATTCAGAGTGTCAGATGAATTGCTGTTCCTAAAAACGCATATGCAGTGGTTCTCAATACCAGGGCTGAAAGTTAAAAAAAATCCTGAGCCTGAAACTTATAGTTATGATAGAAATTAACTATAGCGTTGCTATTGCCACAGTTTAA